GAAAGGTCGCTACTGATACTTCAAAACTGCAGAAATGTCAACTGTTTCCAATAGTGTAAACTGAATGCAACTCAGAAGATAATAATCTACTTACTTTTCTCAATACCAAACTGTGTTACAGATGTTTGGAAATGCAATTATGCTACAGTCAAAGGACTTAAACTTGGCAATGTATCAACATTCATAGCTTAAAATGGGAAATAACAGCCATTCTAGGAATACACATAGAAAATGAACTTCTGAGCTTGTAACTGCCTAATACAGCAAAACGCACTAACATATACATACATTAGACTATACCCTTAGACAAGGTTCCTGAAGCAATTACTGAACTCTAATTTTGGATGTGTGGATTTTATCATGCACTCCTCCTTCAAAAGCATCAGGAGAAACAATATTTTACACTTAAACTGCAGAAACCTGTTAAATGCTAATTCTGATACAGCTTCAAAAACTGAAGTAGGTTTCAAGTGTCCAAAGAGGTGTCTTCATTCTAAAAAAATAAAGATGACTTTAACTTCTTATATTAACTAATAAGGTCATTGGTATATAAAAGTTTAGTATATGTGAAAGGCACATATAAATATATCAAATATAAAGGCAGCGTATACGTACGCTTGATTAAAAAAATACGCAAGGTGGTATTTCCCCGACACCATGTCTTAAAGTCTCTTATGTTTGTGTTATCCCTTATTCCTACAAAGAAAGACTGTCCATTCTAGACACAGCTTTTCAAAGTCACAGCTTTTCAAGTTAGTCCTAAGCAATAAGCAAATGAAATATTGCAAGACAGTACTGTGTCAATCAAAAAGAAAACAATTGGCCAGTTTTAAACATTCTGCAAAATTTTACTTCCATTATCCCTTTCTTATTTGAGCTTTGATGTAAAGTTAGTATTTTTTTAAAAAATGCTGAATATCAAAATGTCCGGCATGAGAGAAATCCAGTTTTTCCCTCAGCTGTTACTCTCACTCCCCATTGCTGCAAGGTACATGGCTCAGGGAAGAGGCATTGCCACAAAGCCTGGCAGAGCCCCGACATACCAAATGTCTGGGTTTACTGTGCAATGCGAGTCAGCACAGCACGACCACTCGTTACGACTGGGTAAAATCCACAAGGCTCCACTCCCAATAAAGACTGAAGAGGCTAAATCAAATCACAGCCTTGCTTTCCACTGGCTTTTTCATACGCT